ACCAGCTCGGAGACTTGCAGGCCAGCGAGTGAACCCCTGTGCCTGTGTCCCGCTGTCTGACTGGGGTGCCCTGGTCTCGGGGTGCTCTGCTGATGGGCTGGCAGAGGCTTCTCCGGCTCTGTCACACCACGAAGAAGCAGGGGAGGATCTTTCAGCTCAGCTTAGTGGCTGGAGCCACTGGCTCCGCTGTGCCGGAGGCTGATGTGTCTGCCAGGGAGCCTTCAGAGCTGTCTGCGTCTCGGCTGGGCTTGGGCCTCATCCGGCACCACACTGCCTTGTCCCCTTCCGCAGACGTTCTTGGAAACCCCAACTCTGCGGTGCTGGCAGCCGTGCTGCTTTCGGGATGGGCTTTCTGCGCTGTCCCAGCAGCCTGTGCCTCACGCTCGTGGGGCAACACGGGTCAAGGGGGACGGTTTCTCCACTGGGCTCAGCGTGGGGCTGGTCAGCCTGCGCTTGTCTCTGCCACCCGCAGGGAACATGCGTCGTGTGTGCCCAGAATTCCTGTGGCAGGGCTCAAGGTGGGGACACCCGAAACGACCTCTATCCCCTCCTGGAGTTGGGGGACCTGCCTGGATTCCCAGAGCCAGCTTATTTCTGGGATGCAGAGGGCACCCTCTGTTGTGTGGGCTGCTCAGCTCCCCGAGGTCCTTTGTGGCGCCGGACTCCCGTGGTCTGTGGGATGGGTGCTGGCAGCGCCAGGGCTGCCGGCTGGGGCCCTGCCACCCATGGGAAATCTGTGCCCTGGCAGATTGGACCCTGGGCGACCTGGAGCCCTTCGACGTGCACTCCCTGGGCGAGGCGCTGCGAGGCTACCTGCAGGACCTGCCCTCCCCTGTGGTGCCGGTGTCCGTGCACGGAGACGTCCTTCGTGTCCTGCAGGGTAAGGGACTCGCTTGGCCGCGCTCGGGAACGGGTGGCTGGGCAGGATGGGGTTTGGGGTATTAAAAGAAGTCCTGTCCCTACGGGGTCTGGCACGTGGCCTCTGCTGCCGACAGTGCTCCCACACCGTGACGCAGCTGGAGCAGGGAGAGCAGTGCTGGCTGTCCCAGCTCTTCCATCGGGTCTTGTTCTCTCCCCAGAGATCCCACAGCCGGAGAATTGCCGGAAGCAGCTGCTGCTGGCCCTGGAATCGCCTGCGGTCCCGCTCCAGAACACGCTCACCCTGCAGTTCCTGCTCCGGCATCTGGGGAAGGTATTGCAGCAGGCCGAGAGCAACAGTCTCCACCCTCGGGCCCTGGGAGAGATCTTTGGTCCCCTTCTCCTCCGGCTGCCTGGCGCCAGGTACGTGAGGCTCTGGGATTCCGGCTGCGTACCGAGTGCCGGCCGGTGTGCCTGCTGGGGCGAGGAGTCCAGG